AGGTAATGCTGTATCACCTCCTCCATGCTTTTTAAAAAATTAATCACTAGGGAAGTTTAGAAAGACTTTCTCCATCTCAGCAGTTATGGCCAGCCTTGTCAGTTTAACCATGCTTCTCCTTAAAGCCAGAGGAAAAAAATCTGTCTCCTCCCCTCAGTAGTCTTTTTGGCTGTTATCCAGAAGAACTCTTCCTCTCCAATTGAACTTTTAGCCTATCTGGGTGTAGAGGAGCTGAGGGGGTGTAATTTTTAATGAAAAAAATGTTGCAGAGACACACTTTTAAAAACACTTCAGTTTATACTGGTCTTCTACTTTAGACTACACTTCATAAAAGAAAAGGCTTTCACAGAACAGCTACATACCTGAAAAAAGCTGTGACTAAGCCACAATCCAAACATTCAGAAAAAAATGCAATTATTATTCTGGATCTGCATCATTTAGGAATTGAAGATTACATATTTTAATTTTGTCCAAATAGAGGGAAAGCGTCTGCATACCAAAAGGTATCATATTAAAAGAAAGGGTAAGCGAGAACCCTTCTCAATGACATGCCAGCTTTCCACTGAAAGTTATTTTGTGTGGAACTCTGATACTCCGAGACCCTGCCCCCATTCTGCAATAATATAGCTTCTAAAGAATTTCTGACTCTTTCAGCACTTCCAAGAAAATGTTCCAATCTGTGCATGTAGTGGGGGGAGGGATAATGCTACAATGAATCACTATGCAGTGATGTACATTGAACCAATCCACACTTCATATGGTTATAGTGTTTGAGGCATGTATACTAAAGTTTACTGCAGTGAACATTGTAAAAAGTGAACAGAGAATATATATAGGATTGTACATGCTGTATTCTGTCCTTGACCTGATAATGATATTCCATGTAATAGGGAAACTAAAGCATATTAAAGGACTACATACTGTATTTACCTGAAAGGAAGAAAGCCCTGAATATAAAACAATCATCCTAAAAAGGGGGGGGGATCTGCACAATGAGACAAAGAGTGCTGGACAGGCGACTTTGAACACTGACCCGGTAGAATACGCCTCAACGGTGAGGAGAAGGTAGGCGGTAGGCGGATCACTGCGGGATCGAGCTTCAGAGCCAAAGTCGACATTGAGGGCTTTGATTTCGGCTTAGCCAACTGTTTGTCTTCATGCTTTTTAGACTTATGCTTTAGGGGTTTCACATTATCAGAGTGTTTTTGTAGAGCAGAAGACTGGGATGCGACTGAAGACATCGCAGGGCGCAAAGCTGCCTCAAGGAGAGACATTCGAAGTCGGGCGGCCCTATTTCTGTGGGCCTGACGGGTGAAGTTCGCACAATGAGGACAGGAATCAACCCGGTGAGACTCGCCCAGATAAAACAAACAAAGATCGTGGCCGTCATTGGATGGAAGTTTGGCTGGGCAATGGCGACACATCTTAAAGAATTTTGTTCCTCCCATACAAACACCTCCGGCCGGGGGGGGGGGGGCAGACAGAAACAAAAGTGAAGAAAAATAGTAAAGATTTTTTTGTTTTTGTTTTTCAGAAGAATAAGAAGGAATAAGGAGAAATGAGAAGAACAAGAAGACGAAACTAGGAGAGAAGTACTCAGCTGAGGCAATTTGAAGAGTGACACTAGCGAGGTATGAACGCAAAGGCGGTCGAAGAAGAACTGAGTGGGAGGTGGCTCTCTCCCCCGCTCCAGGCATGAGCAGTGCGTGTCTGCTCCCCAGGGTGGGAAGAGAGCCGCCAAAAAGACTCATGAAGCAAGCTCTGGAATGTTCTCCAGTCGAGGTCGTGCGCAGGCGCCCAACCCATGTGTGGGACTGCACAGAGACCACGACAAAGATCTGTAACTTGTATGTGAATTTAAGATGGACCCCTCTTTTTCTTGATGGTACATATAGGAAGAAAACTAGTCTTCTATTCAGGTAAGCAGGGGTAATAGACAGAATTATCTGCTACCTCTTAAGGTTTCCCCCCCACTGTGATTTACCAAAACTGCCTTGAGACCTTCAAACACTCCTTCTGGGTCATACCAGGAGTCCATTTAGTCATGTGTTTCTTTATGCAGCAATGGGCAGCCAAATAGGAAGCACCCATATAGGCCATTAAAACAACAGCCCTTCACTACAGCACATTCCTGCCATAAGGTTGTCTTCTTTCTTCTAGCTTGAGAGATATGGTGAGACAAATAAAACATAATCTCCCCAAAAAGGATAGTGAAAGACTGATGTTGCTCACTACACCAAGTAGTATAGTGAACCTTGACACAGAGAGTACTCCGTCTTTCTGTGTTATACCTCTGAGGATGCCAGTCACAGCTACTGGAGAAACGTCAGGTCCTACAATGCCAAGACCACGGTCAGACAACCCGGAAAATCTACAACAGCTAGTATAGTGAATATCCCAAATTTTGGTAGCTAAATTAAAATTGGACCACTCTTAAATTCCCAATTGTTTTGGCAGGAGTTCAGAAGCTGACGAGCCCAGACCAGATGCAGATGCAATAGAACAGAGGTGTCAAACTCATTTGTTACAAGGGATGGATCTGACATAAATGTCACTTTGTCAGGCTGGGCCATGTGTGCCATAACACGTAATGCTAGGTACCGGAGAGGTAAACTGTATAAAGGACAGCAGCTGGTAAGCTTTGAGTTGGTGTATCCTCACTGCAAGGTCTCATGGGCTGGGTGGGGGGTCCAAAGGAAAACCCGTATGGGTGGACTGGAGAGCCAGCAGTGCAGCACTGGGCAGATGCTCCCACACTGCTTGACAGCTGAAGATGAGGTTGTTCCACCACGCTGAAGCCACAATCTGAGTGGCTCTGCCACTCCCCCCCCCCCACACAGTCTCCTGTTCCCTTCCTTGTACTAGTTGCTCGCAGGTCACATAAGAACCCTGGACAGTTCTGGTCCCCGGGCCTTATGTTTGACACCCCTGCAATAGAACCTACTAGCTTGCATCGGTGAGGAGGGCAGAGTATAAATCAAATCAATAAATAAAGACATCAAATCTCAGAAAATCATTGTAATACACACTACTAAAAGTGGTTTCTGAACCAGCTGTACACATTAGAATCATAGAGCTGGAAGGGACCTCCAGGGTCATCTAGTCCAACTCCCTGCACAATGCAGAAAATTCACAAATAACTACCTACACACCCCCAGTGACCACTGTTCCACGGCCAGAACATGGCAAAAAAAAAAAAGCCCTCCAGGATCCATGCCCAAACTGGCCTAGATAAAATTGCTTTCGGACCTCAAAGTGGTGATTGGCATTTCCCTGGGCTTGTAAGAAAGGGCCACGAGAACTAAGCACTGATGGAACCCTCCCTCTCATGATCTGCCTAAGTTCACAGAATCAGCATTGCTGTCAGATGGCCATCTAGCCTCTGCTTAAACACCTCCAAAGGAGAAGAGACTACCATCACCTGAGGAAACCTGTTCCAACTGAGGAACTGCTCTGTCAGGAAGTTAGAATCAAAGAAGAATCAAATCTGAAGAAGTGAGCAGTGACCATCTTGATCTATCACATTATAATCAAAGTTCACAAGTAGATTTCAAACCACACATTTTCAATTTGCTATACATTAGGATGAATTGGAGAAACAGCAAAAGAGGATAGGGCTTTCAAGAATCACCACATGCACATGCATATGAAAGCGTATACCTAAAATTAAACTTTGTTTGTCTTAAAGGTGCCACTAGACTCAGACTTTGTTCAAGAATTATCACATTTATTATAAAATATATAATGTCAGTAACAATTGTCCTTAGGAAACCTTCATTCATTAAAATCCAAGAACAAATGATGGAATAATAGACCATTGATGTGAGGAACAAATGATGGAATAACAGACCATTGATATGAGATTTTTATTATTATTTATGTACCATTCCAGGCTTTATTTACATATCTTTGTTATGATCATAGATCAGCCAAAACTGACACACAGGGTCATCAGCACACCTACATATAATAAAATTTCCAAGTCACATAACGGGCTGATTTCAATAGTACAGGCATTCCTTGTTAGACATGCCTTGTTCAACATTCCTTTTTAAACATGCTTCCTTCTTTAAATATGCCAAGGTGCAAAAACAGGCCACTTTAAAGATGCCTTGCTTCATTTACTAAAATTACTCCCAATCTGTGCAGGGATATACTGGGAAATAGTTATGGGCAAAGAGATCAAATTTCAAACAAAGCATTATAAACATAGATTGTAAATGTACTAAACTGAAGCATCCACCTCCATCTGAGGCGTTCCAAAACCAACAGCTGTTTTCAGATCTCTGGCTTTTGTGGGGAAATAAACATTTTTCAACAGCACAGCTTTGGGCTTTTTTCAACCCTCCAACTTAAACTACTCAGCTGATACATCTTCTTTTAGTGACCTAACTAAAAGTAACATAATACTGGCAAACCACAAACAGTTCCAACAGTGTTGCATTTCAATATAAAAATGTTGTTTGTACATCTGGGTCTTGTTTATCTTCACTGTCTGATTAAACCAACAAAGTTTTTTGTTTGGGGTCTGTTTTTTCCTTAAAGAGGCATGCAGTTGTGAGAACAGTTCTCATAACAGGACTTAGGACTTAATGGCACTCCTAATGAAATGCCTTAGTATGCATTGTGTTTCTACCTCAAGTGTATTCTAAATAAAAGTACTCCAGTATTTTGTATGATGAGGTATCAGTCTGGAATGCTAGACAGACTTCTAAAAAACTGGAAGCATTACTACTTCTAATGTTGCTAAGGAAAGAACCGGAACTCATCAGTGGAAAGAAGTGTTTGCTGATGAATACTTTGAAGTTTATACTACAAAAGTTCGAGCTTTTTTTGTATGCATTCGAATTGCACTGCAGCAGTTTATTGCACCAAGTGACTAAAATGGAATGTGAATGTTTCAGCTCTACAGACATCTGAAACGGAAGTCAGCTTCTTTGTCTCCCATTAAAACACTAAACTTAATGAAAACCATATGCTTTTGCTTGTCTTTACTGCCTGAAGCTGAAGCTGATTCATTACATTTTTTTTAACAATAAGAGCAGCTAGGTTAACATATTGGGATCTGATTCAATATGTTACTTCTGCAAGATTGACTTACCTTGAAACACTACTCTTTTTTTGCAGAAGACCGCATTCCAGGATATATATTACCTCTTGCTCCAGGAAAGAATGCTGGCACAGTTCCTCTCTACCCCACATAAAGTATTTTAAAGCCTGTCAATCTTTACAGTAGTATTTCAGCCTGTTGAAAATAATCCATGATTTATCTAGTCATTTGGAATTAATGGATAAAAAGAAGTGATTGCATTTAGAAAATCGTAAAGGTGATCTCAATCAACTAAAAAGGTAGGTGTTCTTCAAGGACTTATCTTCATAGTAAATGGTTTTGTCTTACAGCTATAGGACTACAGTTGTATGTATTTTGTTTGGGGTCTGGTTTTGTGTATATGGTATCTACCTTACATACTACCCTGGTATAATACTTTCCCTTGATAGAATTTTTGCTCTTAAATGAACTTACATTTCTCTCTTAGTTTTCTATTTCAGAGCCAACATGGACAATAGATATGTTTTGGAATATATCAATTTTACTATAGAAAAATAGCTCTTAATAAACCATTAAAATATTCTTTTCATTCCCAGGCTAGGCTCAGCTGAGCCCTGCTTCTTCTTTTAACTATTTATTTACTGCACAAACCAGATTCAAATTACATTTTATAAACACTCCTCTTAGCACTCAAATTCACAAAACATATTTTGCAATTGTATCAGCTTTTAGATGAAAACTTTACACAAAAAATGGTTAATTACGCTTATTTTAAGATTAAAACTATTTAAATCTAGGACACTAAGAGTTAATACTCTTTCCATGTTCCTTTTGCATTAGAAACTACTGCCAACTAGTCTACTAGGCTTTAAATATTGTTTTGACAGATTGCTTTTTCCCCCCAGTCACAAAGAATTCATTCTCCATAGCCCTTCCAGCTCAATACAAGCCTGATCTTTTGCAATGAAGACTTTGAAGCAGTTTGCTCTCTTTCTCCATTTTTTTATGCCTGTGGTGAAGTTAGCACCACCTAACCAACAGTCTGTTACATTTTATGACTATGGATTGGCCACTCTTGAAGACACTGTATTTAAACAAGAGTATGAAGACACTATATTTAAGGAAGATGAAGACCAACCAGCACAGGATGCAGTAAAAAATAAGGTATTTTCCAAGTTATATTTTACTTTTCCCATTATGCAAACAAATCATCTAGGCATGCGTACATATTCCATGGGTAAATATAAAAGCAAGCAGAATAGTAAAACTATGCAAGTTGATCCAAAACAAGAGATTATAAAGTTAAATTTAAGCTACGTTTCTTTTAAAGCAGCAGAAGACAACAGGCTCTAAGAAAACATATGAATATGTAACATGAAATCCAGGTGGACCACAAACAGTATGAGTCAAAGTCAGCCAAAGTTTTATTGCAAGACTGGGGATTCTTTGTTTTTATTCCTACAGTACAATTTCCCCATGATTACCACCATCACATAGAGTGGCTTTTCTAAATTAATACATAGCAAAAACAGTGTAATCCACTGGCTAAGTATATTTTGGACATGTTTGGAAGCCTACTGCCTTGAAGTCATTTTATGGCCTTGGCTAAGTGATTGTCTCCCAGTCTCAGACCTGATTTATAAAATAAGAATACTAGTGGTCTATATCATGGGCAAATATGGTACAAATTTTAAAGCATGTTGCACATTAAATGTACAATATAAATTATGATCCTCAGTAGTTCTGACATATAATCTTCATATTTTTACCTAAAACAGAATACTGTACCCATTATCAAGTATTACTAAATGTCCATTACATTTACTTTCAAAATAAATAGTACACTCACAGATTACTGCATCACACAGTGGCATCTCCTAATTTCCAGTACTTAAAACTAGCTTCCCGAATGCCAAACTCAGTTTAGGACTGCACAGTGTTTGTATGCTCAAGATAATGAAATACCTGTGACATTTTAATGGTTCTGCATATCCATATAATTACACATATCCTTACTTAGCAAAGGAAAGTTTATCATAAAAGCTAGTCAATAGTGCAGCATTAAGAATGACTTGTAAAATTGCCAGTAATAGCATTTCTATAAGATGTTTTTTATTAAAATATGAATGTTTTAGTAATGGAGATACTGTAGGAAATCCCATCCAATACAACTGAAAAGAATTTAGAGAAGAGGGAAATGTGGAACGTGAAGTTCCTTGAAACTACAGACAAAGGTGCCCCTCATCAACCTCTCCTGCCCTTGGGACAAAACCCAGCCCCCTAATTTACCACAGAGCTGGGTGATCTAAAAAGGGCTGGCAGCTATCTAGAATGGTGCTGGCAGAGAAATCATACTGAATCTAACAGATGATGCTATAGAGCTCACTGTAAGACCTATGAAACAGTGGTGATGGCAGCAAAGAAAGGTTACTTCACTACTACTATAGCATCAGTTAGCCCACGTTCATCCCAATTGTTCAAGGTAGCTTAGCATTTGTTGATGCCTAAATTTTAGCCTCTATTGTCCCAAAAACGGATAATTAGCTGTGATACTTTTGCCAAGTGTTTTGCTGATTAAATATTGAAAATACGCTCTGATCTGGATGTCAGTTATAACACTGGTAACCAGAAGAAAGGCCTAATTCACTGCTCAGGCTATTTATGGATCATTTTGACCCAGATCCCATGACGGATGTAGACAAGGTCCCTGCATCTGGCGAAGCCAGTCCTTGAACCCTGGATCCTTGCCCATCCTGGCTGCGAAAAATCATGTAAGAACTGCATCAACAACTTCTTAGCATCTCTCCTTATATATAATTCTGTTCTGGTCATGGACTCCCCTGAACATTCCAACACGCTTCCAAATCAGTTGGCTCCGTGATCTGTCATTCAGAGGGTCTCCCTATCCACTGGTTGCATTGCCTGAGTCCTGCCTCCAACATTCTAAACAGTTTGCTGTTCCTCTCCCCCCCCATAGCCAGTCAGAACACAGATAATTTGCATATGTGACCTGATTGACCTTTGCCTCAGAACACAGAGGTCATTTGCATATGCGGCCTCATTGGCCTTTGCCTCTAATATTCTAAATAGTTTGCTGTTGCTGTTCTGAGGTAAAATACATTTCCCCTAAGTGCCTGTTGGGAGAAACCATTGTTGCTATTTTCTAGGTGAGGGCTGAAGATCACTCAGAATTACAACTGCTTTCCAGATGGCAGAGATCAGTTCCCCTGGAGAAAATGGTGGACTCTGTGTCCTTATAACCAGCTGAGATGGCCCCTGTATGACAGCCAATGTGACGTAGCAGTCAGGGCTTCAAAGCACAGTAGAGGCTGCAGGTGGGGGGGTGGAAAGCTGAAGAGTGAGGGGGAAATAAAGGTAGGTTGATGATTGGCTGGGAAGGAGATAGAGTTGCCAACTCCAGGTGGGAAATTCCTGGAGATTTGAGGGATGGAGCCTGGAGAGGGTGAGGTTTCAGGAGGGGTGGGACCTCAGACATGTACAATGCCATAGATTCCACCCTCCAAACCAAACAGTTCCTCCTGGGGAACCATTGTTGCCAATCTCCAGGTGGGGGCTGGATATGGAAAGCTGAAGTCAGAGGGGCAGATCAAGGTAGATTGATGGTTGGCTGGGAAGGAGATAGGGTTGCCAACTCCAGGTTGGGAAATTCCTGGAGATTTGAGGGGTGGAGCCTGGAGAGGGTAGGGGTTGAGGAGGGGTGGGACCTCACACAGGTACAATACCATAGACTCCACCCTCCAAACCAGCTATTCCCTCCTGGTGAACTATTGTTGCCAATCTCCAGGTGAGGGCTGGAGATCACTCAAAATTAAAACTTTTCTTCAGGTAGCAGAGATCAGTTCCTCTGGAGAAAATGGTGGACTTGGTGTCATTATACCCTGCTGAGGTCACCACAGCAAATTGACACTGAGTGCTCGAGGCCGGGGCACCCGCCCAGAGCCTCTTTCTAGAGCTCATTGTATTTATTTCCACAATGAGCCTTATTTCTAGTCTATTAAATCAGTCAGTAATGCAAGGCACCTTCCCTTGGTCACTGAAAGAGGCAGTTAGCCATCCGCTACTGTAAAAACCATCCCTACAGAAAAATGATGTGGCGAATTATTAACCAGTCTCTAATCTATCCTTTCTGGGGAAAGTGACAGAGAGCAGTAGCAGGCCAACTCCAAGTCTTCTTGGGTATCTCATCTGCTCTAGGAGCTTTTCAGTCTGGCTTCATGCCAAGCTATGAGACAGACCTCCATCTGAGTGTAGACAAAGGCCAACCCTCTCTGTTGCTCTTATTGGATTTATCTGCAGCCTTTGATACAGTAGATCATAATATCTTGTTGAGGCACAGGAAGGCAGAAGTAGATATCAGGGGATGTGCATTGAACTGGTTCAAATCATTCCCTCATGATTCAGACTCAAACGGTATCTATTGGAAACCAGTTCTCTTCAGTGTTGGACCTATTTTGTGGAGTTCCACATGACACGATTCTATCCCCATGCTTTTCAATCTCTATGTTAAGCCCTTAGAAGAAATCCTTCATAGTTTTGGGGCTGGTTGCCATCAATATGCTGACAAGAGTCAGCTCTATATATCCTTATCCAAAACCCTGGTGGTGCAGAAGAGGTCCTGAATTGCTGCCTGGCCATGGTAGTTAACTGGCTAAGAGTGAACAAATTGAAACTAAACCCTGAAAAGACAGAGGGAACACTGGCTGGGAAAGAGGAGGTCTTGACCCACATTGTTCTTCCCACTTTTGATGGAGTTCAACTGACCCTTGCTGACTCAGTTCAAAGCCTTGGGGCTATACTGGATCCAGCTTTATTACCCCTGGAGCAAGTTCATCCAGCTGCAAAAATGACTTCTACCAACTCAGCCTAGTCCATAAGATGGCCCCTTACCTTGATACACCTGATCTGGCCACCTGGATCCATGTCACAGTAACACTGAGACTAGACTACTGTAAGGCAGTATATATTGGTTTCCTCTCAAAATCAGCTTGGAAACTCCAACTGGTCCAGAATGCTGCATCTCAGCTATTAGCAGAAGCTAGATGGAGCATGCATACAACTCCCATCCTGCAGACACTCCATTGGCTCCCCAATTTTTACCAGGTTCTATTGAAAGTATCACTTCTCACATACTTCGCCCTTCATGGCCTTGTCCCATCTTATTTGTGGGACAACCTCTCTCCCTTTGCTCCACCACATCACTTTAATTGATGTCAGCAGAAACTTCTGCAGGTGCCTACCTGCAAATGGACAAAACCAACAACTGCCCATACATGTGCTTTCTCCATTGTGGCTCCTGCCTTGTGGAATGGCCTGCCTGAGAAGGTCAGGAAGGCTCCCAATCATAGAATCATAGTTACTCTTCCCTTCCTCATGGCAAGCCCCCTATCCTCTTTTCTTCTCAGCCATTCTCCTTCTCAGACGCCTTTTTATCTGCCTTCCATCTTCAGCTATATTTATTCTTTATTTACTTCACATATACTCCACCTTTCTTCACAGTTGGGACCAAATCAGCTTACATCATTCTCTTTTATCCTCATAACAATCCTGTGAGGTATGTTAGGCTGAAACTATGGGAATGGCCCAAGGTCACCTAGTGAACTTCCATGGCAGATCGGTGATTTGAACATGTGTCTTCTAGACTCTATTCTGAATCTCTAATTGCTATACCACACTGGCTGTTATAGGGTGGCTGCTGCTGAACAGAAGCAAGCAAGCCAGGTGGTAGCCCAGTGGTTGATTCTTGGCTTGGCCCAGATGAGACCTCCCTCAAATGCCAAAACAGTTCTAGAAAGGGCCCTGCCCCCTCCCTTAGCTTTTATGGAAAGAAACCAAGCCTGGAATGCTGGCAAACTGTTGTGATTGCCTAGCAATGGGCACTGAGGGCATCCATTTTTACAGGTGCTCCATTTATCATTTTAACCACCCAATGTATTTTTTTTTATATTTCACAGTTCTAGAAAGGGCCCTGCCCCCTCCCTTAGCTTTTATGGAAAGAAACCAAGCCTGGAATGCTGGCAAACTGTTGTGATTGCCTAGCAATGGGCACTGAGGGCATCCATTTTTACAGGTGCTCCATTTATCATTTTAACCACCCAATGTATTTTTTTAATATATATTTCAGATTTTTCTGCAAACATGGGGTGTTTTCAGGTTGTAGAAAGATCTGTATTGTTCATTCACAGGGCCAATCTCTGGTTTAAAGAATCCTCAGATCTGGTTGGGTTGACAATCAGAATATACAAGTGAGGGACGGGCAAGGACTTGTGGGGGACATTTCATTTTCCCCTCCCCCACTATTTCCTCTTTCCTTTACCTGAAAGCCCCCTTAGCCTCTCTCCTTTTTCTGCCTCATTCTTTCTTTCACAGCTGTGTCTACCTGTATCTCTTTCACCTGTATCTATCTGTACCTCCTCCCAGTCTTCAGTTTTTCCTCTGGTAGCCTCTTCTAGGGAAAAATCTGGCCAAATTGCACAGTGCCAGCTACCAGTCCAGGCCCAGCTGCACAGTGGGGAAATTCTTGGACTCGCAAGAGGCACCTCAGCTTCCCTATCTCCCTCTCACACTATTTCTTCTTTCCCTCCTCCTGGCAGCTGCCATATTCTCACCTTTCCCT